ATACCATTTCTCGCTAAAGAAACAATATACCTGTATATCGTTCTCTACAACATCTGCTTCTCATTGTGTAGCCATGTGCTAAAGACAGAGCAATTTTTCCCTCCAAAATTGCCGCTATGAGCCTGTATGACTAACAATCTAAAAGATGGAAAGCCACACAAATACTTGTTAACAGCACATAGAATAGATGTTCTATAGCAAAATAATTTTGAAAAGTTAACCAATGCTTTGGGAACAATATTAAAGCAGGTTCTTATGATTTACAAGCCTATGTTTACATATAAAATAAAATTTAAATGGATTTCTATATGCAACATTAGAAGACTCAACAGAAAACAATAAAACAATTTTTTTTAAAGATATGGAATAGAATATACACAACATTAGGTTTAAAGAACTAGAAGCAAAGTCTGGTGGATTTTATTTTTGGATGAATTATTCCTGAGTTCCTAATGCTAAACTTTCCCCCCCTTTGGCTTTGAGAATTCTAATTCTAAAAAAAAAAAAAAAAAAGAAGTAAAAAAATTATAATTATTTGACTAACATGCACAAAAGAGTGTTCACACAGATTATGTAATAAATACAGTATTTGGGAGGGACCCTAAGCTCATCCAGAGAACCTCAAGATAAGAGATCAATAATAATTTTGAACAAGTCAAAATAGTATTTAAGGAATCTATACAGTGATCCCATTTTAGGAGAACATTGTATTTTATAGAATTAAGAATATGAAGCATATTAACAGAAGCAAAAATATCATAAATAAAGTCCCCTCATCAATAGTCATAAATGTAGGGGTTTAAGACCAAGAGTGAGGATAGGTCACTGAAATGCTGAATATCCACTTTCCCAAACTCAACCATTTTCATCCACCAGAGTTAGAAAATCACTGAGAATCCCAAGTTAAAAATTATTCCAGTTGAAATTCTACTCACCATTTTAGGTGGCTTTTGGAAATGAGTTGGAAACAGAAGTGGAAATGATATGAAAATAGTAATAATCTGGATATGAGCATCAGAAGAAAGAACCAGCATAAATGTGTTTATGAAAAGGGGGAAATTGAGAGTTAAAACAGACAAGTCAGGGTACAAACAAAGAAAACCTAAGGCTGAAGAAATAATAGCATTTTTCCTAGGATGTAACCAGAAATGCACTTTTTATTGATCAGTCTATTACCAACCTCACAGACTGGCCCTGGGCAAAAACTTTTAATGTAACATCCACTACAAAACAACAACAAAAACAAATTTTAGGTTATTGGGTTCTAGGAATCTTTCTACTCCCTTAGATATCTGAGAAAAGTATTAGCTAGCTGAAGAAAACTATTCATCTTTGATATTGGCCAACCTATTGATAGAATAAATATTGATGCAAACAATTGGCCAGAATAAGAAAAATCTCAATGACTTTATATTTTTTATGTGAAACTTCACAATGTCACTTTATTTTTAATTTTTAAAATTTTCTTTATTGAGTAAGGTGTTACATATGTGTCTTTATTCTCCCATTTCCACACCCACTATCCCCCCTCATGCCCTTACCCCCCTGTTGTCCGTGTCCATTGGATAGGTTTATATGCATGCACCCAAGTCCTTTGGTTGAACTGATCCCCTTACCCCCACCCTCCCCTACATTCCCTCTGAGGTTTGATGGCCTGATTGATGTTTCTCTGTCTCTGAATCTGTTTTTGTTCATCAGTTTATGTTTTTCATTATATTCCATAAATGAGTGAGATCATGTGATATTTATCTTTCTCTGATTGGTTTATTTCACTTAGTCACTAATCACCTGAGAGATGTAAATCAAAACAACAATGCGGTACCATCTCACACCTATCAGAATGGCTATCATCAGCAAACGACAAGTGCTGGTGAGGATGCGGAGAAAAAGGAACCTTCATGCACAGCTGGTGGGAATGGAATGCAAACTGGTGCAGCAGCCACTGGGAAGAACAATATGGAGTTTCCTCAAAAAACTGAAAATGGAACTCCTGCTTGACCCAGTGATCTCACTTCTAGGAATATATATCCCAAGAAACTAGACACACCAATCAGGAAGGATAAATGCACCCCTATGTTCATAGCAGCACAATTTATCATAGCTAAGATTTGGAAAAAGCCTAAGTACCCATCAGCAGATGAGTGGATTAAAAACCTGTGGTAAATCTACACAAGGGAATACTATGCTACAGTTAAAAAAAAAAAAAAGGAGTTCAATGACTTGATATTAACCAGAAGTAATTCCTCTTGAATTAGAAATAATGATATTGATGGAATAGGTGGACATAGATAACCCATTTTAGATCTTACACTGTGTTAGGCATTGTTTACAATGTGTTACTTATATTTAACATTCTGTGGTCAGCATTTTTAAATATACATTTTCTAAAAGAGATAACTAGAGCATAGAGAAGTAAAGTGTTTTACAGAAGGTCAGAAAGACCCTGAAAGTGGTGGAGCCAGGAATAGAAGACAGAAAGCTACAGAGGACTAGATTAATCCAAATAATTGTGTGATAATAATTTGTACAATTTTTTGTTCAATACTGTAGTAGGCAATGCTTGCTAATCCTAGGACACATAAGGCACACCCCTGCCACGTGGTTTTGTTTCGACCATTTCCTCTGTTGGAAAATGAGCTTCATTAACTATTTCTTTTTAAACTTTATTCCTTCTAATTTGCCTTTTCCTTACATAAATCTTACATATTCAATAAAATGAACTGGAAGAACCCATTTAAACCTTCAAACTGCTCCCTGTCTTTCCCCCATTACACAACATTCCAGATACTCCTTAATCTGCTGTGCTTTTTTTCCTTAAAAGTATGCATTAACTTCTAATAGGCTAGAAAACTTGTATATTTAATTTTTACTTTATCTCTCATTTTGCTTAATATGAACTGTATTTGGTCGAGGCTCTTTGAGTCTTTGGTTCATTAAGAATACAGAACTGTTCCTGGCACATGGCAAACACTAATAAATGTTCAATAAATAATGAATACGTACAAATATAAGTAAATTAAAAGGAAATGTTCAAACCATAGAAAACTGAATGCATTTGTAACTTAGAGATAAATAGAAAAAGTTGTCTGATAATTACTTTTATATAATAGAAGTTTAAATATAATTATTAAAGGTAAATTATTTCAAATCTTCAGTAATCACAAATTCTCTATAATTAAGACATTAAAACATATAGAGAAGAATAAATACTTACATTATTTTTAGAAGGCCAGGATAATAATTACAGAAAGGTAAGCAATGTTAATATCATAACCTTTGTTACTTGTTTTATCATACATACTATCGATATATTTGTATGTGTGTGGCTCTATACACTGAGTAGCCAGATTATTATGATCTCTGAATAATAAAAGACTAATATGCAAATTGTCCCCTCAAACAGGAGTTCGATCAGCAGGCAGGCCAGCCAACCACCCATGTACCCTGCTCCAGGCCAGGCTAACCTGTCCCCACCCATGCACGAATTCATGCACTGGGCCTCAAATATAAATATAAATATAAATATAAATGTAAATATAAATATAAATATAAATATAAATATAAATATAAATATAAATATAAATATAAATATAAATATAAATATAAATATAAATATAAATATAAATATAAATATAAATATAAATATAAATATAAATATAAATATAAATATAAATATGAATATAAATATGAATATAAATATGAATATAAATATAAATATAAATATAAATAATATAAAGTGAGTGGCCAGATTATTATGCATTCAGAGATCATAATAATCTGACCACTCAGTGTATATGTGTGTGTGTATGTATGTATGACACACACAGACACACGTATATATCACAATATTTTCTATGATGTGGAATATGGACATTTGTTTTCATATAAGCTTTTAATCGGGGAGTTTAGCAATATATATAAAATTTAAACGAGCCTAACCTTTACTCCTGAAAGCTTACTCTCATTTTGCAAAGCGATTATTAGAAAGTTGCATAAATTCCAGGTTCCTAATTATACTGTCTTAGATATTTTCAAAATATTTAGTAACCACTTAAAATTCTGTAATTAAGTAGTGATAGACTGTATGGTATACTCATGCAAAAACGTGTTACCATTACTTAGAAAAACAACATACATTTGTATATATTGTCATGGAACTACACTATGTATTATTGATTAGGATACAATACATTTTCCAAATAACACGCATATGATTCTGTGCATGTAAATTATATGTGTGTAAGTATGTGTACTTATAAAGACAGAAATAGATTAAACCGTCATTGGAAGTTTATTTTCTGATATTTGAGACATTCTTTTTTTAATTTTTTTTATTGATTAAGGTATTATGTATGTGTCCTTATCCTCCCATTGAGCCTCCCCTCCCCCACTCATGCCCTGGGTTGCATATTCAACAAGTTTGAAACACTCTGAAAATCTTTTCACAAGTTGAAGTATGGGAAGAGAGAGAAGAAAGTTAGAAGGAATAAGAATGAAACGAAAGAGAGAAGCTTCTGTAGCTATTATACATAGTAATTAACTCAGATTTGTAAAAATTAAGTCCAAAATGTCCGCTTATTACTGCTTCCCATTGCAATTTTACTAAAGTTTATATTTTTATGATTCAGCCTTTTTGAAGAAACTTCTAGAACAAAGTTCATTTCTGGTCAGTTGATTTTTTTTTTTTTTTTTGCTGCCATGGCTTGCAGAGTCCAGGGTATGAGGAAACCTCTAATTTATTCCACACCCAGAGGGGCACCACTGTCCCTATGAATGGGGAGCGAGAGGCTCCAGTGCCGCTGTGGCAATACGTTGATAAACAGACACATCCAAATTCAAATCACTGTCTTTCAATTTCTAACCATTTAAATTTGGTTCTATCTCTTAATCATTCTTAATTTACATCTCATCTGCAAGTAGACAATGTGCTGCAGAATAAAAGTGGTCATGGGAGGAATAAATGAACTGATGTATCTAAAGTCACATCAGAAGCATACAACAAATATCTCCTCTCTTTACACCTCATTCTTTCCTCAGCATGACTCTAATTGAACTGAAATTTAAAAGAAATGACCACATTATTTTTTATTTCTTTTGTAGCAGCAGTCTTTTTCCCCTCCCTTAGGGGAAATGATTCATTATGAACCTACATCCTGACACTGTACATTTTAATCCTATTTTGTCAAAATAATTTCAATAATCATTTTGCTTCTTCATCAACTCAAGAGTTCTATTTCGACTTAATATCATTTTCCTCCAACAACATCAGGTACGTGAAGAACAAAAACTTCATTTACTTTTGAATAATTAAAACAATTAAGCCATTTATTTTAAATGAAGAAAGATATTTTCTACTGATTTACAACAAAATAAAAAGAACGTAACCATTTATAGATATAACTTTCTAGTAATGGTTTAGTTTCAACTGCTATTTTATATGTGAGATTCTACAAAGAATAATTTAATTATGTAAAGAAATTTACATTTTTCTATGTCCTCTTTATCTTGACTAACATTCAAATATAGCACAAACCTATATATTTAAAGCCTAAGTGATCATAACGACTGGATGACCAGAACAACCGGTCAACCAGTCGCTGTGATGTGCACTGACCACTAGGGGGAATATGCTCAAAGCAGGAGTTGCTCCCTGGTGGTCAGTGCACTCCCACAGTGGGTGTGCGGCTCAGCTGATAGACCTATCCAGGCAGCCCACCAGCCCAGCAGCAACCACTCACTCCCTCAGTAGTCCTGCAGGTCCAATCTCTGGAGACTGGGTTAGGCACCAATGGACCAGCTCTGCCAGTATGATCCTGACAGTGCCACCAGCCTCCTGGAAGTTGGCCTCAGGCAATGCAGGCACTGTGGCCACTTCCCCTCCTTAGACACTCTGCAAGAAAGAAACAATATAAAAGTGGCCTCCAGGTATCTCCCAACAGCCAGTGTGAATCTCAGTGGAATAGATACACATCCAGGGCCAGCAAGAGCTTCCCACTGTTCACCGGGAGGGCCAATCGCATCCCCCACCTTACTCCATCAGGACCCCACCCATGCACAAATTCATGTACCAGGCCACTAGTTGAAGAAAATAAAAAAAAAGAAGAGAAAAACAAACAAACAACAGCAACAACAACAAAACAACAACTATATATATAATATATGAACTTACAATACAGTTTGTACTATTATATATATATATATATATAATATATAATATATATATATTATATAATAGTACAAACTGTATTGTAAGTTCATTTTATTAATTTGCTGTCATTTTTAATGTCATTTTTCAGGTAGTTTGTTGACTATATGTCGTAGTATAATCAACATGTCAAGGAATACATTTAGCTATTTATCCTAGATTAAATGTTTTGAGAAAAGGAGGTGGGGGCAAGATAGAAACAAACAAACAAACAAACAAACAAACAAAAAACAAAACCTATTACTTACACATTTTTTTAAAATTAAACACTGACCCCCAAATGATTAAATGGCTCTTTAAGCTTGGAAACTAGTGAGCATCAATAATGTTTTCATTCAACAAATGTTTATTGAGCATCTACCCTATGCTTGGAATAATGATGGAACATAACGATAAAATGACAAGGCAATCCCTGCTGTCAGAGATCTTTAATGAAGAGAGAGAAAAGTAAACACTCAATGAAACAAAACAAAATGATATAAATCCAGACTTTGAAACTGCAGTAAACAAAACAGAGGATAAGTAACATGGTGTGGTGGAGCAGGACTTCTTTGATGGTGTTGTCTGATACTGTTTCTGTGCAGGTGCTTGGGTTAGATGGACGTGGTTGGGTGCAAGGCTGAGGAGGTGCACAGCAAAGGCCACCGAGGAACAAATCTGTGCTGGGAGGGGAAGGGTGAGATGCATGAATCCCTCAGGAGAGCTAATACTGGGAGTGGGTAATGGGGAATGGTATCAGTTGAGAAGAGGAGGTAAGGGGCCTATTAGGTCCCTTAGCTTAAAGTTCTTACTTTATTCTAAGATTCTGGAAATCCGCTCAAGGGTTTTAAACAAATAACAACAATAATGACAACAATAACATGAGGTATGGAACAGCCTGAATAGACTGACATATCTTAGGGGCAGGCCAAGAGGGGGAGGGGGAGGGATGGAGAGGAAGAAAGATTAACCAAATAAGTTATATACATATATGCATCACTAATGGTGCAAACAATAGTGTGGTGAAGGCCTGGGTTGGCCTAGGGGCTGGGAGAAGGAGAGTAAAAGGGGCATCTTTAATCTTGTCAACAACAACAACAACAACAACAATGCACTCAGAGGCATAGACAGCAGTATGGTGTTTACCGGAGGGGATGGGAGGCAAGGAAGGTAATAGAGAGTAAAGGGTTCAATATATGCTAGAAGGAAACTAGACTTTGGGTGGTGAACACAAGGAAATATACAGGTAATAAATTAATACACGCTTGAAACTTATATATTCTTATTAACCAATATCACCCCAATAAATTTAATAAAATTAAGCTCCAAATAATAATACTTTTTATACACAAAGATGCCTTCTAACCCCTGCATGAGGAATACCCTCTGTGGAATAAGATCAGATGAAGGCAGAACAGTTAGGGCACTGTTAAAATTAGTGAAGATGACAGTCACAAGGATTGGGTTGCTGGCAGTGAAATGGAGACAGCTGCCAATTTCAAGAACTACTTTCGATACTGACCTGGAAACACTTGTAGAGAGATTAGATGTGAAGAACATGTTTTACAGAATTCAATTTTGGGGTATGTGATAATATCAAGGCAGTCTACATAATAGTAAACAATTGTTTTACCAAAGAAATGAAATTAGTATATTCAAGTAGAAGTTTATTTCAGTGTTTTACATTTAAAAAATTCAAATTTTGATTTTCTAGCATGCTGTAGCAATAATTACCGTATTTTTCAGACCATAAGAAGCACTTTTTTTCTCCCAGAAGTGGGGGGGAAAAGTCCCTGTGTCTTATGGTCCAAATATAGCCTACACATATACTTTTAAAAAAAAGTTTTTTTACTTGCCCGGCTCTGTGTGGTCTCTGTGTGCTTGCCCGGCTCTAAAATGGTTCTAAATGCTGCTGTTTACTTTACAGGGTTGATTACATGTGTTTATGACTGTGATGTTGGGTTTTAATGCACATAAAATATTTTAGGACACTATTTGTTTCAGAATCTTTTTTTCTTCATTTCCCTTCTCTAAAAACTGGTGCGTCTTATGGTCCGGAGCATCTTATGGTCCGAAAAATACGGTAATTTCACAGAGAGTTTATGCTGTGGCCTTACTCTAACTTGATTCCATAACTGAAACAGGAAAGAGAGTAAATGTCTTCATGTCTGGCCCATAACTAACATCTAAACGCTGATTCAATCTACTTCTTCAGCCACCAGCCATTATAAAAAAAAACAACAATAATTGGATTAATTAATGTGTAAATATTATTTTGGGCAATAACCTTTAGTAAGATCTTGTTGTCTAAGACTTACCCAGTTTTATTTTAAAGGTCTAAATGACATTAGCAAATATTCCCTAATGCATATTGGGTGACATCTTGAAGTATGCTTTATTTGCATTTTAATGTGGCAAGAATTTTCCCATCTTAAAAATGATAATACAGAAATTGTTCATTATAAACACCAATTTCCCCCCTGAGTATCTTTTGCAAAATGAGATTAAAATTTGTTGTAAATGTAGTGACATTTCACACCTCACATTTTACAGCTAAACTCACTTTGTTTCTCTTTCAAAAACGCCTCCATCCTGATTGTCTCAGAAGTAATAAAATTTAGAAGACTTCCACTTTGTGAGGCCAATACACAGGTAGGCATCTCCACTTATGAGAAAATATGTAGAATCAAAAATTAAGGTGACCAACTCACCCTAGTTTGCCTGGAAAATTCCAGATTTAGCATTGAAAGTCTCACATATTGGGAAACCTTGGAATTCAGGACAAGCCAGAATTATTGGTCAACATTTACAAAGGCAAAAACATGTGTAGCATCCAGAAAACAGTGAATAGGCAACCCTAAATTAAATATGTACATTTAATACAGAGACTTTATCCACTTACAAACTAAGCACAATGTTTAGAATCTATTTCTCGTAAAGTGGTGATGAGTATAGACATAAATAAAGCGTAATTCAGAGGTCTGTAAACTGTGGTAAGGTGTAATGGAGATGATTGAATGTTGGTCTCATAGAGCCTTGAGAAAATGAAAAGAGAAACAAAACAAAAGTGAAAACAAAGTACTGTCACTCCCAGCTCCTTTCCAAGGTTGTTTTGTGACAAAAGTGTGGGAACCTGATTTTTCAAAGTCAAGTCCCACAGTCACAGCTGAAGTCAGTTGCCAACAAGCACATCCACTTGGCCTCTTGGGGTCCTCTCACTTCAGGTCATTCAGTCAATAGCACTTACCTGTTCTCTTGACAACCGTTGCTATTGCTTTTAGAAAGATATTAAGGAACTGAAAAAAGTTTCCTTTTACTTTGTTTTCCCCAAATTGAACAGGATCAAATAAAACATGGTAATTTGTGGGCAGTTATTCATGGTGAACACTGAAAATGAGAAACCATTTTCAGTCTTGAGAAGGGGCCACAGATAGGCCAGTGTGAAGCTGCACACACACACACACATCCCAGTCACAGAAAGAACAAGGAAACTGAGAGAGAGAGAGAGAGAGAGAGAGAGAGAGAGAGAGAGAGAGAGAGAGAGAGAGAGAGAGAGAGAGAGAGAGAGAGAGAGAGAGAGAGAGAGAGAGAGAGAGAGAGAGAGAGAGAGAGAGAGAGAGAAGACCCAAATGGAACCTCTGGCCTCAGGTTACAACTCAAGCTGGGCGAAACAGAATACTATGATTCCTCTTGTGATATCCTAAATGCTTCTGCCTAACACACATGCAACTTAATTTTAATGGGCATTTTACCATGATTAATAAATGTCAGTTCAGTGTATTATCTTCACATTGTAGCATATTCACAGACTTTATCTACTCCAAGAGAATTTTTATTGGACTTTATATTTTAGAGAATTGTGGCATTGTTGAGAATAGGCTCATGTTTTATGTATCTTGTAAGGCTCAATTTTTAAAGGGAAGTTCTTTGTGAACTAAATGAAAATGTTTTGTTGATAATAAAAGTATTAAGAAATATGAAAATGAGCTGGGTAGTACTGGTGTCATTTAGGGTAAATTAGTTTTAAGGCTTGTGCTAATAAACATCTTGATACTTTTTAATATAAAAAGAGATGATTCAGGCTGGATAGTTCATTTAGGCTTCTTCTTCTTTATTTATCTCTGAATAATATCACCTAAACTTTATTCAGAATAATTTACACAGTTATTCTATAGTTTCTTGCTTCTAATAATTGCATACTATTACTTCTAATACATGTAGAAAGAACAGCGAATTTTTGAAGGTGAATTTTTCCTCCAGTGACATATGACATTATACTTCTGCAATTTTAGCTTTATTTTATTACTTAAAGCCAAAGATCAGAAGTCTCATGTTTCTTCTGCAGATCTATTTCAGTAATGTTTAAGTATGCATATAGAGTAACAGGGTGGAGACAGGAGACCACAGAGAAAGCTCCAAGGTACCCTCTTGAACCTCATGTATCCCAAACAGAGAGCTCAGTTAATGTACGCACACATACACACACACATTGTTTCTCCATTTTAATTCTGGGTTTCTTTAAAACTGTTACTTGAAGGATAAGTTTAAAAATTAAGAATTTTATTATACTTCATTATGACACCAGAGGGGGAAAAACACATTTGAATTTTAAAATTATGCCGTTTTTACAGACACATATGAATATGCATGTGTAGCCATGTCCTCCTGGCTTTTCAAACATATACACTTCTATGCATTTTGCTTCCTTACAATCATCTGTCTTAATTTCCCTAGAGAGTGTCTTACAAATGATACAGAAACAGCTTACTTAATGTGTCATGTACTGGCCAGTGTGGCTCATTTAGTTAAACATTGTCCCATATACAAAAAGGTTGCTGGCTTAATTTCTGGTCAGGGCATATATCCAGGTTACAGGCTCAGTCCCTGGTTGGGACATGTACTGGAGACACCTGATCAATGTTTCTCTCACACATCAGTGTTTCTCTTTCACATCAATGTTTCTCTCTCTCTCAAATTAATAAAAACATATTTAAAAAGAGTAGATAGACATTTATAGAACAATTAGGAAAGAAATACTGACTTTGTGCAGTTGACCTTGATCTTCTTTAAATGCTCTGTGGAAAAACAGCAGGCATGTATTAGACTTGTCTATTCATATAATCTAAGAATAACAGGTATGAACAACAAAATAATATTTTATTAAATTTTAGCATTAGTCTTTCATTCTATACTCTGAGGAAGAAGCCATCACTTAAATGCTATCTTAGAAAACACTTCCAACTGCTTATTCAAAACTTCAAGGCCCAATTGATCTGTGAGAATTTTTGACATATTTAGTTGGTATTAAGCATCACTATACTTCAATAATTATAAGAGCACCTTTTCCTCTTATTTGTAGAGTAATTCTTATTTAGAAAGTCCTTTCATATATGTTCGCATAGTATTTTTTTTTCAGTGTTGCATTTGTAAAGTCTTTCTTCCTTTTTTTTTTTTTACAGTTTAGAATCTTTAATAATAGTTTGGTGTATGAATTGGAAATAATAGATCACTAAACCAAGTGTCCTTGTAAAACACTAATATTTCCTATTCTATAAGAACTTAAACGTCTTTATATTAAAAGAGCAACACAGATTTTCTTAGTGTTTTTTAATCTTTCCAAATTAACCCTGTGAGACCTTTTTGGGTGGTGAGTTTGGGAGTGGGAGGTGGAGAACATTATAAGGAAAGATAGGATGAACCAGCTGGTACCACATCTTCACCCTTCACCCGGAAGGAATTCTCTCACCTTCTTCTGGGGCCTCTTGACATTCTCTCATGTTCACCTTCAGCCATAGACACTGAATGACTGGGTTCTCCTGGATGTCTTGGTGCTTGGACTTTTGCATTGTGTCAGCATTAGGGCAGCAGGTGAACACCATAGTGGTGCTGTTCTGTGTATTGTAGCAGGGCAAGGGGAAAAGCCAGGAGTTTTTCATCTTGTGGTCCTACCACCTTTTTCTTTTTTCTCTTCTTAAAGAATACCCTTCAGCATTTCATATAATACTGGTTTGACAGTGATGAGCTATAGCTTTTTCTTACACGTGAAGTTCTTTATCTTATCTTCAATTCTAAATGATAGCTTTGCTGGGTAGAGTAATCTTGGTTGTAGATTCTTGCTATTTATCACTTTGAGTATCTCTTGCTACTCCCTTCTGGCCTGCATAGTTTCTGTTGATAAATCAGCTGATAATCCTGTGGGTATTCCCTTGTAGGTAACTCTCTGTTGTTATCTTGCTGCTTTCAAGATTCTCTCTTTGACTTTTGCCCTTGGCATTTTAATTATGATGTGTCTTGGTGTGGTCCCCTTTGGATTCCTCTTGTTTGAGGTTCTCTGTGCTTCCTGGACTTGTAAGTCTATTTTTTTCACCAGGGATGGGAATTTTTCTGTTACTACAATATTTCTTCAAATAGGTTTTCAGTATCTTGCTCTCTGTCTTCTTACAGCTCTGTAATTCAGATGTTAGTATGCTTGAAGTTGTCCCAGCGACTGTTTACACTATCTTCATATTTTGGAATTTTCTTTTGCTTTTCCAGTTGGATGTTTTTTGCCTCTTCATATTTCAAATATTTGACTTGATTCTTGGGATCTTCTAGTCTGCTGTTGGATCTTTGTATATTATTTTTTATTTCAGTAAGTGTATACTTAATTTCTAGTTGGTCCTTTTTCATATACTTGAAGGTCTCATTAAATTTATCAGAGGTTTCTAGAAGACTCTTGAGTAACCTTGTAACCATGGTTTTAAACTCTATATCCAGTAGTTTGCTTTCCTCCATTTCTTACCTGTTCCTTTGTCTCCCCATTTTGGCTGCTTCCTTGTGCTGATAGAGTGGCTAAGAGTGCTAGGTGTTCTATAGAGCCCAGTGGCTCAGCCTCCCTAATCACTTTTGGTGCACCCCTTTGTGGGCTGTGTGCACAACCTTATTGTAGTTAATCCTTGAATGTTGTTGGTATCACTGGGAGGAATTGACCTTCAGGCCAATTGGATGTGAGGATCAGTCATGTCTATGATGGGAGACACCCTTCTGGGGCAAGACTTGCTTCAGTGCGGCTTTGGTGCTCATTGAGTCTGCCCCCTGAGTGTGTATCTTATGGATCTGAAGAGTTGTAATCTGGATGGTCTCACTCTGACCAGTGGGTACACTGGCTCTTGGATCTCCAAGGAGGTGCAAAGTCAGCCACCTCTTGGGGCCACCCAGAAAGAGCTACAGAGAGATCTACAGATTCCTCCTCTTTGTTTAGGGTTTGGAGGTGCTCAGATGAGGCCCATCTGTGAAGCAATGCAAGCTGCTGGGGAGCCTTGGGTCTTTTTTTTGGAGGCTCTACTGCTTTCTAATTCATCTGCAGTATATTAGGTTTCAGATTGCAAAGGGTCAGGCCATTCATAGGCAAAAACCTCTACACACAGCTTGTGTGGGGCTGTAAATTGGGTGGGGTGGGGTCTTAGGGAATCACCAGGGATGCCATCAGCCCTGACCCAAAGAGGTTCCCGGGTTTTTTGTGTCCTGCAGCACCCTGCAGGAACAATGATCACTGCAAGGACCTCTGAGAGAAAGTGTTCTGGCCAGATGCCAGACAGTTCAGTTTCTCCCCGTATGATTCTGGGTCACCAGAGTCCTGCCTAAAACTGGAGTTCAAAGCAGTCAGGAGCTTGTATCTCCCTCCTGATTGAAAAAGATAACAGGGTACTCAGTTGCCAGTCCCTTTTCTTGTGGGTGCTCCTCTGTACCTCTACACTTTACTTCCACAACTCCGCACCTCCTCCAAGTCTCAGTGTACTTTTCTCTTTCCTTCTAGTTGTATAATTTCCACTCAGCCAGCCTTCCCATGGTTCTGGATGATATCCATTTTGTCTTTTAGCTGTAGTTTTGAAATGGTTGTGCGAGGCATCAAGTCCGGGTATTTATCTATACCCTCATTTTGGTTTCCTCCCCTCTTTTTAAAAATATTTTATATTAGTATAAATAAAAATAATAATTATTTTTTAACATATTTCACAATGATCATCATTAATATTTTATAGGTTAAATACTTCACATCTCTCAACAAAGATTAAACGAAATTAATACAGAATCACAATGCATGAGTCAGAAAGGGATTTGAAGTACTTTTCCTGCCCACTACTATAAAAATAGTCTCTCTGGTTTATGAGGACTAATTGGAAAAAAAAAATACATTCTTTTGTGATGGAAATCAAAGTGAATGAAACTAGCTCAGTGTTTTCCCAAAACATTAGTGTCCTAAAAACTACACATTCCCATACACGCACATTACATGGGTGGAAACCCTTTACATGAGTTAATTGGGTTCCAATCTTCATCTTTTTAATCTGCTAATAAAAAAAAGTATGTACTATAATGATCTTTATCACCCAATAGAAAAAAAGAAAATGTCTTTTTAAAAAATGTTATAAAACTCTGTAACTTAGTTAAACTATCACTAATAAACATTTAAATCAGAAAATCTTAAAATAGATCAAACCAGATAAAGATGTTGATTTAAAAGAAGGGGGTGGGGGGAAAGGCCCAAACTCAGAGCTTTCAAAGTAGCTCAGAATTAATGAAGAAGCGTTTTGACCTAGGTCACTGCCTTGGGTGGTGTTTAATGGATGTGAGCCAAGAATCCCAGGTAATGAGCAAAACGTCAAAACTAAAACCACTCATTCTCTCTACCTGGTGGTTAGAGTCAGCAAGTAACAGTTATAGAGAATGGCTGCCATTATACCAGCCTGTTACTACTGATGAATCCAGTGGGCCTTGCAATTATACATTTGGGCACTGTCCTAACCACCTCCACAGTGCATCCATAAATGGAGATACTTTAATTGAGAAAAAATAATTCCTTTCTAATGTATGATATTCATTTATTTCAGTAATTTGTTTGCTCATATGCCAGCAATCGATAGATGACAGCGGAAGAAATTTGTTTTCAAAAAAACTCTTCATTTAATCATACTGGCCCCAAACACTGCAACTGTAGTTTGCTTCATTATTCAATTGCACTTTCATATCCCATGTGTGTGGCTTTCATTATTACAGATCATTTTTCCTTAGGATGTGTGATTTAATTTTAATGCCTGAATCTAAATCTAAATCCTCTGCTGCTTAAAAGGTCTCTAGTGCAATAAGAAAGGGAGGTTTATTCTGCTTTTGTGTTCGGGAATATTTCTAAATTATGATAAAAATCAATGAACAAAGGACAGTGAAAATGAGGCATAACGTTTTCCTTTCCTAGGTAAATATACGATTGAATCCCCTCTTAAAACAATGTTGTTAGCCCTGGGTAGCTTCCTAATTCTTGGATGATATGAGCATTTAACAATGTTTTTGTGAGAGAGGTATGGTTATACTTCAGAGACATTTCCTTTGGAATTGTTCACATGCTATGCAGTTCAAAACTAGTGTGTTATTTGTAGTCATTCTCTTAATTCCTGAGTTGCTTGGGCACAGAATCCCCTCTCCCTCTGATGGTCTCTTCAGAATGCTTGCAAAAATTAAAGCCTTTCCCCAGCTGGATGATTTCCAAGACAAGCCATGATCTAATAGAGCAAACTATTTTGTTTGTATCCACTGGGAAACCAGTAAGTTAAAAGCCATCTCCCAGGCCCACCTTGGGAACATCCGGGCTCCAGCAGGTGTTGTGGCTTTGACTGTCAGCTGTGTCCCCAGTCCCCAGAGTACAGAGGGCCCCAATGTACTGGCTTGAGGTAAAGCCAACTCATTCATCTCCTAGGAAGGTTTTTTTTTTTTTTTTTTTTTTTTTTTTTTTTTTTTTTAATTTGTGTCTAAAAAACATAGCAGGGCGAAATCACTTCTCACTTCACAAAATTTAAAATTCAAATATGTAGTTAGAGCAAGGATGCAATTATTAGGCTCAAATACTGTCACTAGGCAAAATAAATGTGTTTGAAATCAAGTAAGAAATATTCACATTAAAAAAAAACACACAAACCAGTGTTGCCCCAGCTGGTTTGGCTCTGTAGATAGAGTGTCAGCCTGCAGACTGACAAGCTGCGGGTTTGATTCTGGTCAAGGGCACATGCTTGGGTTATGGGCTCACTCCCCTGTAGGGGTGTGTAGGAGGCAGCCAATCAGTGATGCTCTCTCATCATTGATGTTTCTATCTCTCTTCCTCTGCCTTCCTCTCTGAAATCAATTAAAATATTTTTAAAAAATCACAATGTTATTAAGGGTTCTACATTTCACACTTAAACTCCAAACACTGATGTTTCCCTTCCTTTGAGAAACACCTCCTACTACATGTGGAAAAATTAACATGAAGTTGTTTTTATATCAGCTCACGACTTGTCCAGCTAGCAGCTTCTCTGCTGTGTCTGACAACCCTCCAGTGTCCTATGGACATCCCTTCCTACTGTGTTGGCTTCCTCAGCATCCCTGGACACAAGCTTTTGATAGATTGCTACTTCCTGGCCATAGGCACTAGTAGAGAGGAATTGGGAAAATAAAGGGAGAGAAGTAAGAAGAGTGATGAGAGGGGGAGGGAGAGGAAAGAAAGAGACAGACAGAACCCTCCCTTTTAAAATTTTTTTCTGAAATGTCATCTCACAAAACTATGTGGGTTGATCACATTTTGCCATAGAATGCAAGTAGAAAAGATTTTTATGTGTATGCTATATAGAACTTTTTCCAAACAGCAAGGAGAAAGCATCTGTGGAGAGATACCCTTCAAAAGGGTTTCTTTCAAGGAAATCACCAGTTTCTGATTTGACTCCTCTGCCACTGGCTCC